GGATTTGAACTCAGGTCCTCCTGAATCCAGGGCCTGTGCTCTATCCACTGTGATGCCTAGCTGCCCCTTAAGTCTTTCAAAATAGTTTCTCTTCATAATGTTGTTATCATATAAGCTGTTCTCCTGGTTCTGCTCACTTCACTCTGCATCAGCTAATACAAATCTAAAATTTTTCTAAAACAGTACCTTTCATCATTTCTTACAGCACAATAATAGTCCATTATATCCATATACCATAATTCGTTTAACTTTTTCCAGTTGGTGGGCACTCCCTTAGTTTCTGATTCTTTGCCACCACAGAAAAAACTGCCAAAATGTATTTGTACTCTCTCGGTTCTTTTCCTCTTTTTTTTTTTTAAATCTCTTGGGGGTATAGCTTAGTAGTGTAATTGCTGAATCAAAGAGGATGCAGAGTTTGGTAATGTTAGGGGCATAGTTTCAAATTGCTTTCCAGAATGGCTGGGCCAATTCACAGCTCCACCAGTAGGGCCCTGATGTGCCTGCTATCTCTCACTCCCTCCAATACTTCTCATTTTCCTTTTTTGTGTGTGTGCCATTTTTTTCAAATCCGAGGAATGTGAGACTGAAGCTCAGAATTATTTTAATTTGCATTTCTTTAATTATTACTGACTTGAAACATTTTTTTCATATGGCTATTGATAGTTTAGATTTCTTCTTTGGAAAACTTCATATCCAAAGTGCAGTAGTTAAACAGGGAGTAAATTGGTTTCAGGCAGATAGTTTCTCCTAGGCTATTCATTAACATCACTATTGTTCTGTTTAAGTAAGACAAAACCCCCAAACTTTGCTATAGAATTTTGTCTTTGTTTCACAATTACTCTACAATGTTGATTGGAAACTACTTAGGTCCGAGAGAATTTTGATTAGCAGAGGGTTAATCTGAACTGCTCTCCAAGAAGAAACTATTATATGATGGACATAGCCAATATAGGAATTTGTTTTCTCTTGACTGAATATTTGTTGAAAGAATTTTGGTTTCCTGTTTTTCTTAATGGCAGAAAAGTGGGAGGGAAAGAGAATAATTTTTGTTAATTGAAAAAATTTTTAAATTAAAAGAAATACTTATGCATAATAATCTGACAGATTTTGGCTTAAAATGTAAAGTATAAAGTTTGTCTTCTACACTTGTTCAGAACTTCCCAGGGTAAATTTAACTTCTTCATGGAATATAAACCATGGGGTAGTTCTATGATTCTTAGGGCCAGGGGAGCTATATAAGACTGTGGGAGGAAAATATATCACCAGAACGTCCAGGGATTGTCCTAATAGCAAGTTCAATTTGCTTCTGGAGGAGCTGATATGTTAACTGAGAACTCCATGTGTTTTTACTCAATTAATTTTCCAGGCTTTTTATACCTTTGTTATTGTTATTCAGTCAAGTCCAACTCTTCATGACTCCATTTGGGGTTTTCTTGGCAAAGATACTGGAGTGGTTTCTCATTTCCTTCTCCAGCTAATTTTACAGGTGAGGAAACTGAGGCAAACAGAATTAAGTGATTTGCCCAGGGTCACACAGCTAATAAGTGTCTGAAGCCAGATTTGAACTCAAGAAGATGAGTCTGGGTTGTTTATAATTTGGATCTGACACAGGTGAGCCTGAGGCTCTGGAAGGCCTCTGTGGTATGTTTCCTGACTGGTACTTGCCATGAGAATGAGTCCCTACATTCCTTCTTCAGTGTGCCAGTAAGAAGGGAGGCAGCTAAAGGTGAAGATGGGTGTCCACATGCGAGTCCTTTTCCCTACCTGCTCCCAACCAGGTGTCTGGAGTCGTGGGCTGATTCTGTGATGAGGTCTTTCAGAGATGGCTCTGTCTGCATTTCTGACAGGGTTCTTCTTCTGAGACTCTGACTCTTTGCCCTAAGGGTGGCCTAAAGTGGTGATTGAAATATCAATAGCCCAGAAAGGGTTCATTAACAGATCCTAAGTATTCTCTTACATCAGCCTAAGTATTCTCTTCCTGATAGCCTAGGACCACAAAAGCCCGACCCCAAGTTGCAGGGAAAAATGTCTACATGTCTTGGTGAGTCCCTGTTTGTCATGGAAAGGTTGGAATGGACTGGGCCTCCCAGAATATCAATCACAGGCTAAAAATAGGTCGATAAGACTAAAATACAAATGGCAACCAGAGCATCCTGCTGCCACACTCTCCGCTTTGTTAGTAGGACATAGGAAGAGCCAGAATGAAAACAAGCTGTAGTTACCTATAGTGGAGTGTTAAAAAGCAGCCAGAGTGAAAACAGATGTCCCTTGGAACACTATGTCAGAGGAATGTGGAAAATTGCGAGCTGTGGTCCACAGATGTGGTGATGGAAGGCCTGGGTGGGGAGCAGCGGCCCAGGTCCTGGGGCAGAGGTGGCTCTTGCCCTTTGTCTCACTTAGGTCCCTGTGTCTTAACCAACCTGAAAGGAGGCCTGGAAGTGTAATCCCATGCTGGCCACATTCTCTTCTTCCTCCTGCCATGTGTCCTGTGGTACGAGGAGGGGGATGCCATCTTGTCACTAGCAATTGGGTCAGAATCCCACATCAGGCACTTGCTAGCTTTGTGACCCTGAAAGTCATTTAGTCTCTTGAATTTTGTATCTGTAAAATAAAGGAATTGGACTCAATGACCTCTAAGATTCTTTCTGGCTCTAAAGAATGATGAACTCATCATTCCTACTGGACAATTTCCTCCCTATCAGTTAAGGGGGTTATTGGGGAAATCATTAGGGGCTATTTAGGAGGATTGGAACTAGCCTAGGCCCTTGGCAGCATGGAAGGGTTAAGACTTAATGTTTGTTTCTTTGCTCAAAAAAAATTTTTAATCAAGTAAGTCTCTGTGCCAGAGCTTCCTCATCTGTTAAATGGGGGTGGTAATAGCACCTCTGTCCCAGGGTTGTCATGACAATCTAATGAGGTGACATGTAAAAGGCTTTGCAAACCTTAAAGTACAATTTAAATACTGGCTATTATTATTAATAAATGCTTATTAGATTGGATTGTAAGCCACCAGGTGATCTGAAAGGGTGAGCTCCTTTCCTGCCTCTTACATTAGGAATTCCAGGATCTATGCCTCCCCTCCACCCCCACCTTTTCCTGCCTCTGGAACCAGATACAAAAATTCATCTGCCCAGGAAACTGTTAGAGAGATACAGAAAGGAAAAGGGGAATGGCTAGTGCTGAACCGGGCTCAGCACAGTAGTAATCATGGAGGGGAAAGGAGCGGATTGTGACAGTTTGGGCACAAAGGATCGCTGATGCCAAAGAAACAGATTGGCTCAGGAGCTAGTGAAATCCAGGTCTGGTGCCTTGAGGTGGGGTTCAGGTGTGAGTAGGAAGCTGGGAGAGATGAAAAGCCCATGGTGGGGGGCCAAAAATTACCTTTACCACATCAGAGAAAAGGAGCTGGCATTGGTGAAATTGGAACCTAATGATTCCTAGCCCTGAGAATGGATCCTTCCAGGCTGACATCTGGGTCTAGTTCCTCTGCCTGGCCTGCGGACATCATCTTTCCCTAGAGGACATCTGCATCATCTCAGCTCCCTCTAATGGCTAAAATGTACATTTCTTGTCTCTGCTTTTCAAATGTGGTCTCCTTTAGGACTGCCCTCCAAATTCAAGCTTCCAGTCTAAAAGGAACCTCTAATTCTATGCTTATTCGTTTGTAGAACAGAGGTGCTCTATAACCTTAGTAAGCGATGCAAGCTCAGCTTGCCAATCCTGCCCAACTCCTCTACTTCACCTCCATGACTCATTCCTTAGGTTACCCCCAAGAAGGTGATCTTCGACCATTTTATCACTCTAGTCTTATGTGATAAAAATCATTTGACCTATTAACAGAAAGGCAGTGTGGCATAGAGGATAGGGAGGTTCCTTGGAGCAAGGAAGGCAAGTTTAAGTTCCACCCATACTAGCTGGGTAACCCTGGGTCTACACGATCTCTCTCTCTCTCTTTTTTTTTTTAGGCAATTGAGGTTAAGTGACTTGCCCAGGGTCACACAGCTAGTAAATATGTGTCTGGGGCCAGATTTGAACTCAGGTCCTCCTGAATCCAGGGCCGGTGTTCTATTCACTGTGCCACCTAGCTGCCCCCATGATCTCTTATCGTCTCTAGGCAACTAAGACAAATTTTCAGAGAAGATGCTGGCCTACTTTGGTAAAAGGAGTTTCCTCACCTGGGAGTTCCCTATATCAGTGAAATCACAGGTCCAGGCCCTAGCACTGCCCTACCTTCCAGTAATAACAACAGGTAATGCCCACCCAGAGTAAGAAGAGGGTCATGCCACCTTTTGTGTACACAGAATAAAAAGCCATTCACATGGCAATCCCAGAGCATGACAATATATGCATGCCTCATTGGCTTCTTAGAACAGCAGTCTGGGCCACAGCATGCTGGTCATTCTCAGAATATAGGAAGGCACCAGCTAGTAAGCTGAGGGCCTGATTACAGCCCATGGAACACTGGACATCTATAGGATGTGCTAAGGAAGGAGTAGATCCAATCTTTTCCTTCAGGGAAAATACCATTTATTAGAAAATGGCTCAACCCCAATTCTGTTCATGTACACACTATTCTCACAACAACTCGAGCTCCAATCCCTCTTCAAGTCCTTGTGTGAATGACCCTGTGAACACGGCAATAGTTAGGGGGCAAAGGCATATGAGATGGGAAATAGAGCAGTAGCAGGGGTCAAGAAGTTTATGAGAGTCCAACTGATAGGTGACCCAGCAACTTAGCAAGGGCCACGCAGAAGGAAGGAGGGAGCTAAGTGGTGTTATGCAGAGAAAAATGGCCAAATCTGGTGATGCATGGGATGACAAAGCGCTGGAAATCTAAGCCTGGTCCAAAATCTGTTGATTTGGGCCAGGCTTATGTAGGGCTTCAGGTGAGGACAATAAAGATGAGATGGAGAGCCAAGAGAAAGGGAGAAGTTTAAGACCTTTCTTACGTGTTTGATTGGGCCCTACGAGTACAAAGAACAAGTCCATTTTTGGTCTGATGAATTAATTCTTTATTATGGATTGAGACCAACTTTTCTATGCATAAAGAATCTTTTTTTTTGTTAAACAAGTTGAGCAAATTCACCTGTTAAACATCAACTCTCAACCTTTCCGCCCCTGCCCTCCTGATGCCCCAGCACTTGATATTTACATCTCAGGTCCATTTGTAAACAGTGGGGGCTGCCAGTCTTCTACAAGGCAGGTGGGAAGGGGAGGCCCCTAAGGGGTCTCTGTTCCCCGCAACCTGCCCAGTCAGAGCCTCCCTGTCTCCCGCCTTAGCCGACAGTCCAGGACCTGGAGCTGCCTGAGGAAACCCGAGTTGGGGCAAATGTCTCGGTGGGCCTGCACCGTCTCAATGGCCTCCACCAGCGTCATATTTTCACAGATCATGAGGAATGCCAGGACAAGTGTGGCAGACCGGCTGACCCCCATGGCACAGTGTACAAACACGCGGCCTGTAGGTAGAGACAAAAGGCCAGTTATAACCACAGTCACAAGCACAGGAAAACTAATAGAGTTGAATGCTCCGTTGATATGGCCCCATCCAGGTCACTCAGAGCTCAGAGGCAAAGATGTCAACTAAGGTGAGTAACTGGAGCTTTGCTCCTGGGCACTGAAACTTAAAGGATGCTATCCCCTAATATCAGTCAGGTACTGCAAGTAGAGTCTTCGTCATGTTCAGACTCCAAGAGGATTCTTAGAGAGAATCCAAGGAAGGACACATTCCTTCTTCTTCCAAGGCTTCTAAGGAACTGGGGAATGTCTGAGAGAAGCTCCAGGCCCTTCTACCCCGGAAGTCTCAGGCCCTCAGGGAACTGGTGAGTGCCCACTAGCTGGGAGCTTTCTCCTTGCTCAACCTGTCATCTCCAAGGGCCTGTGTACAGTAAGGAATAGAAACTGATTTAGACTGCATGACTATGAATGGTACAAATGATGCATAGAACTTCAAAGGTCAAGCAGTGGGAAGCTAAAGAGAAGAGAATCCTGTCTAGAGTGAGTTGCAGTAGAGGTCTGCCCCAATCTTGAGTTAACTGGTTCCTAGGCAAGCATCATTCTCTCAGGGTATGAATGGGCAATCCCAGGACCTAGAGTCAATCCTACGGTAGAATGAATTGTGAAATCAACAGAGGTCAGAGGTGGGGGCTTGGGTGAGGGAGGAGGGAAGGGTCTTCCCACAAACAGCTGCACATGACCCAGGGAGTTTCCTCATCTGCAAAATGGGTAAATTGGATAAGATGACCTGTAGGTTCCCTTCTAGCTCGAAATCTGAACCTAGCTGATGGAAGACAAAGAATCAGGATCAAATCATGTTGTTATTCAGTCATTCAGTTGTATCTGACTCTTCATGACTCCACAGACCACAGCACTTCAGACCCTTCTATCCTCTATCTCTCAAAGTCTGTCCAAGTTCATGGTTCATTGTTTCCATGACACCATCCATCCATTTCATCCTCTGCCACCCCCTTTTCCTTGTGCCCTCAATCTTTCCCAACATCAGGGTCTTTTCCAATGAATCCCATCTTCTAATTATGCAGCCAAAGTATTTAAGCTTCAGTTTCAGTATTTGACCTTCCAGTGAATAGCTTCAATTAATTCCCTTAAATATTACTGATTTGATCTCCTTGCTATCCAAGGGACTCTCAAAAGTCCTCTCCCACAATTTGAAAGTATGATTCTGCAGTGCTCAGCTTTCCTTCTAGTCCAACTTTCATTGCTACTGGAAAAATCATTGCTTTGATTAAATGGACCTTTGTTGCAAAGGTGATATCTCTGCTTTTTAGTGTGCTGTTCAGATTTGCCAGAGCTTTCCTTCCAAGGAACAAGTGTCTTAATTTTATGGCTGCAGTCGCATCTTCACGGATCTTTGAGGCCAAAAATATAAAATCTGACACTGCTTCCATTTCTTCTCTCATTGTTTGCAAGGAAGTGATGGAACCAGCGGCAAAGATCTTAGGGTTTTTGTTGTTAAACTTCAAGCCAGCTTTTACATTCTCCTCTTTCACCTTCATCTTAATTCCTCTTCACTTTCTGCAATCAGAGTGGTATCATCTGCATATCTAAGATAGTCAATATTTTTCCCAACAACCTTAAGTCCAGTTTTTGATTCATCCAGCCTGGAGCATGATGTACTCTGCATATAAGCTAAATAAAAGTGATAATATACAGCTTTGTTGTTCTTTTTTCCCTATCTTAAACCAATCAGTTGTTCATGCTGGGTTTTAACTTTTGCTTCTTGACCTGCACACTGGTTTTTCAGGAGAAAAGTAAGATGACCTGATACTCCTACCTCTTTGAGGACTTGCCACATTTTGTTATGATCCACACAGTCAAAAGCTTTAGTGTAGTTAATGAAGCAGAAGTAGATGTTTTTCTGGAACTCCCTTGCTTTTTCCATAATCCAGTGAATGTTGGCAATTTGGTCTCTAGTTCTTTTGCCCCTTTGAAAACCAGCCTGCTCTTCTGGTAATTCTCAGTTCACATATTGCTGAAGCCTAGCTTGCAGAATCTTAAGCATAACCTTGGTGGTATGGGAAATAAGCACACTTGTTCAGTAACTTAACCATTCCTTGGCATTGCCCTTCTTTAGGATTGGGATGTAAACTGATCTTTTCAATGCAGTGGCCACTGTTGTTTTCCAAATTTGCTGGCATATTGAGTGCAGCACTTTAACCGCAGCATCTTCTATGGTTTTAAATATGTCAGCTGAAATTCCATCATCTCCACTAGCCTTATTTGTTAGTAATGCTTCCTAAGGCCCACTTGACTTCATTCTCCAGGATGTATGGTTCTAGATCAGTAACCACACCATCATGGTTATTGGTGATGATAATGAGGTCTTATAAAATTGTTTTGTGTATTCTTGCCACCCCTTCTTAATCTCTTCTGTTTCTGTTAAATCCCTGCCATTTTTGTCTTTTACCAAGCCCATTTTTGCATGAAACTTTCCCTTGATATCTCTAATTTTCTTGAAGAGATCTCTTATCTTTCCCATTCTGTTGTTTTCTTCTATTTCTTCCCATTGCTCATTTAAGAGAACTTTCTTATCTCCTCTTGTGTCTTCAGTAACCCTGAATGGCATAGCTTATAGTTTCATTGAGCTATGCAAGCCCCCCCACCATGACAAGACAGTGATTGGGGAAGTGTTAGGGGAAGGGGAGAGAATCATATCATAGTCTCTGGCAAACTGTCCTGACCCCAGTAGTTAACATCTAGAGCTAGAAGGCACCTCAGAAGTCACCTAGACCAATGCCCTCACTCTACAGATGAGGAAACTTAACCTGAGAGGTTAACTGAGTCATTTGAGGTCTCACAAATAGTAAATGTCAGGGGTGGGATTTGAGTTTATGTCCTCTGATGCTAAATACAATGCTTTTTCTACTGCTCCATGCTGTTTCTCAAGGAGTTGGCCTGGGCAACTGGCATTAAAAAAAAAAAAACACCCTGAAATTCAAATACAGGTAATTAGTCCACAGCACATCCCATTACAAAAGTGGACTGCTCTTCCTTCCTTTCACGCTTGGGTTGCCCATTTGTGAATGAATCCTTCTCTCTTTCAGAGTTACCCTTGATGTCCATTATAACTTGATGGTCACCTGCACAGATGTTTGCGGAGAGATATTCAAGGTATGTATCTCTTAGCCTTGTTCCTTACAGGGATGACCTTGCCAGTTGGGAAAGGCCCTGCTGGGACCATGAAATCCTGCACCCCTCTATGTGGAATTAGCCCCCCATAACAATTCTAGGGCCCATCACATGGTACCCCAGTTGTTGACCAAGTTTTCCCCCAGAGTCTTCTCAGGAAATCCAATTGCTGTCTAGACATAAGTAAGTTATACTATGTCCTTTTCAGGCTAGCACCAGTTTTCTTTCAGTGACTCAGTGACCCTAGTGAGGGCTCTAGACAATGCTTCTGGACACTGCACCACTGTCACCTATTCCAACTGGGCAAGGATGAGCAGATGAGGAGTAGAGTGGAATTCCTTCAGGGATGCTTGCTCTCTTATTTCCTGATTAAATATCTCCTAAATACAGATTTCGCCTCAGTGACATGAATCTATCTGGAGGAGAGAAGAGAAAATCCTGCTAAAAATCCTTTCCAAGGGAGGTCATTTGAGGGAGCCTCAGTTTCCTGAGCTGAAAAATAGGTGTAATGATACTTTATTACCCACTAGGGAGCACAGTATAATGGGTAACACTCCAGGCTTAGAGTCAGCAAGACTTCTTGTCTCTGGCACATCCCAGTTGTGAGACTCTGGGCAAAATCATTTAACTTCTCAGTGCCCCAAGCAACTTGTTCAGACTACAAATTAGACAACAGGCCCTAGGACAGCTAGGTGGTGCAGTGGATAGAGCACTGGCCCTGGAGTCAGGAGGACCTGAGTTCAAATCCGGCCTCAAACACATAATACTTCCTAGCTGTGTGACTCTGGGCAAGTCACTTAACCCCAATTGCCTCACTAAAACAAAAACAAAAAATAAATGAATAGACAACAGGCCCTGATTTGCACTGGTGGAAGGAGTTTACTTACCAAGAGTGGCATAGTGAAAGAGCTCTGGCTTTGGAGTCAGAAAACCTGGGTTCATATCCCATTTCTGACACTACCTGTATGACCTTGGGTAAGTCACTGAATGTCCTCAGTTTCTTCATCTGTAAAATGGGGGGGAGTGTGAGGTTGGACTCCATGGTCTCTAAGGTCTCTATCAGCTCTGAATATTTGATCCTACTTATGTGACTTTGGGGCAAATGACTCTGGGACTCTGTTTCCTCAAATGAGAAGTGAGGGAGCTAAAAGGAGCATGGAGCAATGGAAAAAAACAGTGCTTTGGAGTCAGAGGACTTGGGTTCACAGTTCCTACTTGCACGGCACTGGGCAGGTCAGAGGGCTGTCTGAGCAGTGGTTTCTTCAGCTATCCATGGAAGGGATTTGGCCAGATGACCTTGAGGCCCTTTCCAGCTCTGAATCTATAATCCTCTCTCTAATCCTTCCCAAATAGGAGATTACTGAGTATTTGTGCTTTTCTGGGGTGGAGTGGAAAAGGGAGGGGAAGGTAGCTGGAACCCCTGAGAATTTTGCCCACTTGCCTGGCCTTCTCAGAATGGGCCCAGCTAGCTCTTCTAGAAATGTCTACCTCCAAATCTTGAGAGCCATTTGTCCTAGGTGGCTCCTGGGTTCCTCCCTCAATCTCTTCTACCCTTCTCTCAATATAATACCAGAAAGGAAGAGGAAGAAGAGGAGGAGGAGGAGAAGTAAGAAGAGGAACAGGAAAAGGAGAGATGAAAGAGGAGAAGGAATAAAAGAAGGAAGAGGAGGAAAAGGAGGAAGAGGGGGAGGAAAAGGAGGAGGAAGAGGAGGAGGAAGAAGAAAAGGAAGAGGAGGAGGAAAAGAAGGAAGAAGAGTAGGAAGAAGTGGAGGAAGGGGAGAATGAATAAGAGGAAGAGATGGAAGAGAAGGAGAAATAAGAAGAGGAGGAGGAGAAGGAAGAGAAGGAAGAAGAGTAGGAGGAAAAGAAGGAAGAGGAAGAGGAGAAAGAAGTGAAGAGGAGAAGGAGAAGGAAGAGAAAGAAAAGGAGGAAGGGAAGGAAAAAGAGTAAGAGGAAGTAGAGGAAGAGAAGGAGAAGGAAAAGGAGGAGGAGGAGAAGGAAGAGGAGGAAGAAGAGGATAAGAAAGAAGAGAGAGGAAGAGGAGGAGGAAGAAGAGAAGGAAGAGGAGGAGGAGGCGGTTCACCTTGATTGCTAAGAGCAGTTCTTATGTATCTGGCTGCAGGCAGGAAGTAAATGCTGAGGTCAAAGAAGGGATTGTCATCAGCTTCAATCCCGTAATATTCCATAGGCAACCCTCGGTAGAATTTGGCACCTGTGTCGACATGGAACCTGCCGGCAGCCACATTCACGACATGAGTGATGCCCAGCTGGCACAGCTTCGTCTTATCCCGTGCTGCATATCTGGAGAGTGAATGAAGAAGGAAAGGCATGGAATGCTTTCATGGGCAGAATGTCAGTGCCAAGCATGGGCTTTGGGGAGGGGGGCCAACGAGCGGCTTAGGGTGAGATGACTTGGCAGGGTGGCAGAAGAGCCAAGTCCTCCTCAGAGTTAGGGAGGTGGAGTGGACAGGGCACTGGCACATGGGGACTTGTACACAGCAGACCTATGCTTTTAGCCTGGCTCTGAACAGTTGATAGATAGCTGTGTAACCATGGAGAAGAAGAAGAGAAGAAAACATTTTTTTATTAAGCACCTACTATGAGCTTGGCACTGTGCTAAGACTTTACAAATATTATCTCATTTAATCCTTCCAATAATGGGGGGAGGTAGGCGCTATTCTGAAACCCCCCATCCCCCATTTTACTGTCAAAGAAATTGAAGCAGACAGAGGTTAAGTGACTTCCCAGGGCTGCACAGCTTATAAGTGTCTGAGGCTGGATCTGAATTCAGGTCTAGTGCTCTATCCACTATGCCACCTAATTACCTCTAGATAAACCAGTTAACTGCTCTGAGCCTCAGTTTCACCCTCTATAAAATGGAATGGGGACTAAATCTGTGATTTCATTGGTAGAAGATAAAGAAACTCCTAACTATGCAGATTATCACCTTCCCTTTGTCTTAGAGGGTTGCTTAGGGCACCTAGAAGTTAAGTGACTTGCCCAGAGTCACCCAGCCAGTATGCGTCAGAGGTAGCATGTAAACCCAGGTCTTCCTGGCTCCAAGGTTTGCTCTCTATCTGCTACACCAAGGTGAATAGTAGAATGCAAACTACTTGAGTGTAGGAACTGTGCCATTTTTGTCTCTGTTATCTCCAGCACCTAATTTAAGTCATCTATCTGGCCCTCCTGCCCAGGCATCTATGGGGTTCTCGGGATTCAGACCCATCTCCACACTGGGAACCCTGCCTAAGGGCAAGGCATTGTCAGGGTGAAGCAGCCTTGAGAATTCACCCAGATGGCTCTTTCTGAAGCTGGGGCCCTCTATGCTGAGGAGAGAGATGTGCTGATGGCTTTGGTTTGAAGGTAGAAAGAAGCTGGTCTCTTGGGGACCACATCCCCTACTTTGCCCTATGGGGTATTTTCCCTCATTCTTCCCTCTCCTACCAGGGCTCGGAAGTGCCTAGGAGTTGAGCCTTTCAACCATTCCTCAGGAAGAAGCCATCCCTGAGAAGACCCCTTCCCATTGCTGTTTCCTCAGGGGTGCATCTCCCTCCCATCACTGCTCAGTGGGGGAAGGTGGGCTTACGCGTCTCCCAGGTAGAGGTTGGGCCAGACCTCATTGATGTGGCTCATGGAAGAGGCCCTTCGAATCCACAGCAGGCGCTGCAGGTAGGCCAAGGTGGGTGTCTGGTAGGGGACGAGGTTCTGGGTGCTAACTCGGGTCGCCCCATGGATCTTGGGCCTCCTCAGGTCCTGCCTCTGCAGTGAATCCATCCTGGAAAACAGGGGAGGGCATCCCATTGCTGTCCTTGTGCGGGCCCTGGGTGAGGGAGGAGGGAAGGCGGAGGGAAGGGGGGAGGAGGAATGAGTCCCGGAGTCCAGGAAGAGCTGTCTCTCCCATCACTAAGAGGAAAGATACCTGCTTTTTTGTTTTTGTTTTTGATAGAGGGAGTGAAGGGATGAGGTGTAGGAGGAAGACTTGTCCTGTCATGCAATCAGCTACGGGAGGGGAGTTGGAAGATGGCTTTGGGATCTATGGGAAAAAAGGGGGCCAGGAAGGCCAAAAAGAGATCTCAGCACCAGGGGAGAACATGTCCGCTGCAGGGACAAGGATGGGGATCTCCCAGCATTGGTCTAGCTACCCTTCAGGTGTTACTCTGCATCCCCATCCCCTCAGGCAGCCCACCACGGAGCTGTGTGTGACCTAGGAGGGCTTCCACAGGTCCAGGGGAAAGAGTTCTGGACTAAGAATCAGAAGAACGTCCTATCCCAGGAGTTCCTCTGATATCAGGAAGGGGTCATTGAGGTCATCACTTCCAAGCCCCTCATTTTACAGAGGAATCTCAGGATTAGAGAGAAAAAGATCTTTCCTCCGTGTCACATGGGGTCTGGATTAGAGTTCGGCCTCATAGCTGTGTTCCCTTGGATAACTTACTTAATTTCTCTGGGCCTCAGCTTTCACATCCCCGAAATAAAAGAGTGGTAGGAGTTCAGCTGATTGAACAGGGCTCTGAGGTCTAAGGGGGTTGGACCTGTGATCTTTAAAATTCCCTCCCATTCCATAATTGCACACCATCTTCTTTTCCCCCACCTCTGCCTTACCTCGGTGGCAGGTAGAGGCCATTCTGCTAGGGCCACAAAGACAGAGGTAAAGCTGTGGGTCTTGCCTAATACCTCTCTGGCCTTTTTGCCTGAGCTTAGCCATGAGACAGAGGAGACAAGTGATCCCCGCAGGGTTTGTATCATCCCTTGCCTCTCAAGGCTCTCAGCTATGTTTCAAGGGAAGCTAGATCTCTATTCTTTCTTCTCCTGGACTAGCACCTTGTTGACCATCAAGCCACCCAACTGAGGCCACCCAGGATCTCAGTACTGTGTCCCACTGGCTGCAAAACCTAGCCACATTCTTGTCTGGGCCTAAACAGGTCAAGCCAACCTCCTTTGGGCATGACTGTCCCAGAGTCCTACTAGTGTGTAGAAGAGTGCGATGGCAGCAAGAGACAGTATCATTTTTGTCTTTGGATTGCCCAGGGTCCAGCACATAGTAGCTGCTGAATTGAACAGGTAATATTTCCCTTAATGTACCCCTCAGCAAAACCCAGTTCTCTTTCCTCAGCAAAAAGGGAGGAGGAATCTGGAAGCAAGAAGGTCCCCCTGCCCTAACCAGCTTCCTTCTCCCAAATGCCTGAGGGTCAGAATGGAACGGACTAGCTCTGAGGCTGAATTGTTTTTCCTTCATTTCAGTGGCTGAACACACAGCATCCCAGGGATTAGGGTTAAGCATGTGAGCTTTCCCTCTAGAAAATTCTGTGATTCTATGATTTTTTATTTATTATTATTACTATGGAATACATACTGTCATCTATAACCGAACTTCAAAATATTTTTTTATTTAAAAAAAAAAAGGTCCACCATTCAAGGAAAGCGAGCTATAATCTTCCTTTGTAACTTTTATACCAGGGCTCTTGTTCTGATTATTGAGCAATTTCCTCTCCTGAATAGGAGATAAGCAGGAATTGAGTTCAAGGAACAATTTGGAAATTAAGGGTGTATGTAATTTGTTATTTGTAGGAATGTGTAGTAGGCATTGTCCAAGTAGCTGTACTACCTCGGAGAGGGGTGATACCTTAAGGCTGCTGTTCAAAGCCTTTATGACAATTAGTTGACTAGTGGGACAAGATTCAGGGGTTGGATACAAGTTGAGGGAAAGATGTCTCAAAGAAAATGATGTGACTTCGCAATTTTAACAAGAACCAATTTTACCTGGGCCAGGTCCACCACCTCATGTTGGAAATAAGCCAGGCTGGAAGAGTTCAGTAAACATGGAAGGCTTGCTGTCTCCTGGGCTTCTTTTCATAGGACATAGTGGATGCAGTACTTGCATGTATGTCTCTAGGCCCAAGGGGCACCTGGCCCTGGGTGTAGGGGGTAGGCAAGGGAATCCAAGTCCTTCTCACAATTTTCCCGGATAAGCTTGGGGACCAGTAATATTCTTGAGACACTCACATGAGGCTGAAGCAGCTAGGAACTGAAGTGACTTCTACCTGGAGCAGGGACAATAATGTCCTATACTATTCTCTGTCTGACAATTGGGCTATACCCAAGAGTGTGGCCAATGTAACCACAGGACTCTCCACGTTCCTCTCCCAGAATCAGGAGTTCGTGGTTGACACTGTCCCAGGACTCCTGGTGAAAATGTTCATAAACTCCCCCATTCCTCAATTCCCCATTGAGACCCTCCCCTCTAATAGCTGTGAATCTTCCCATCCAATCAAGGAAAGGTTAGACACAGCCCTAACTTTCCTCCTTTGCATTCCCAAGCTGTATCCAGAATCATTATTTTTGGGTGACAGAGCATGTTTCCAGGGCCCTGGTGGGCACAGAAGTGGAGACACTGGCTGTGTCTTGTTCAGGAAGGTGGCTAATCTGGATAGCCAACTATATAAGAAAAGCCCTGGGAAGCTGGAGCTTATATGGGGTCATATATATATATATATATATATATATCAGGGTCTGGTGTCTCTCTGGCTTTGACCTCCAATCCTGCATGCTATGACTAGGCTGTGTGAGATGGAAGTGGTGCCTTCTTTCTCAGGGCACCCCCCTATGCAGGGTATTTAGGTACAGTATGGCATAAGAGGGAATATTATTCCACTGTGGTAAAGGTCTACAATCTCAGCTTGAAGAGAAACCTATAGAACCTGAGTGACCTGTCCAAATTCCCACAGCCAGTTGGTGGCAGGAATGATTATTGACCCAGAGGGTTGAATTCCCAGGAAACCCTACCTATGGGATTCTGCAGATTTCACAGGCTACAATCAGGACTAAGCTTAAGGCCACAGAAGGACTGCCTAATCCAGGAGACCTCCGACCCTTCCCCAGTAATGGGCATCTTACCTCCATATAAACTCACCTACCTAGAGCATGGTCTAGGGCTTGAGTCTGGAGGCTCTGGGAACCAGGGCAGTGCTGGACTCAACAGTAGGGATCAGAACGGGGGGGGGGGGGGGGGGGCTAAGTTCCATCTGAGAACACTGATGCTGTGAAGCGTCTAGAATTCCAGCTGGTTGACCTGGAAGCCTCTGGGGGGAGGGGAGGGGGAGCAGGAGGGAGGCCCTGAGCTATCTCTGCCCAGAAGAGGAGCGTCTCATGAGCTGCAGTGCAGCTTCATCAAGCCGTCTCAAGGCACCGATGTATGATGTACTCATCAGCTAGCCCAGGACAGACTGCAGAGTAAGCGGCTTCATATGATGTCATTGAAAGGGGCCCCAGAGAAGGGGTATTGTCGGGAAAGAAGGGAGGTTGCAAAGGCAGGTGCCAACAGCAAACCACCAAAAACAGGACTGGCCCCGCCAGTTTGCCAGGCTTGGCTGTCCCAGGACCCTTTCAGCCTTGATTCTGATCAGGTTGAGGCTGGGGGCTGTGTCAGGAAGCTCTTGCCTCCTGAATCCAGACACTGTCTCCCTGCTACAGTTCTGATGGAGAGACCTGGTCCCACCCAGCTCTTCCTCTGCTATCCCTTTCTTTGGCCTCCCAGAATCAAATATAGGGTAAGACTACCCTCCCGTGGCCAGCCCCATGCTCTGCAGCCCAACTGCTCAGAAGAGAAATAGGAACCCCCCATATCTTGGACCCAAGAAGACATTTTGGCAGTACAACAATCTTCCTTCCCCTGTGGCCCTCACCTCAGCCAACAACTTAGCACCTTCCCCTACAGGAAAGATTATTGAGCTGAGAGATTCTGGGCTCCCCCCATTTCTCACTGGAGAAATCAGGACCGGGGTTCAAATTGGTCTCTGATTTTTGCTGCTTGTACAAGGCAAGTCACTTCCTCAGTTCAGCATCTGTAAAATAAGGGCATTGGAGCAGGTGGCTACTGGAGGCCGTTCTTGTTCAAAATCCCTAATTCTGACCTTGAAGATTCCTTTCAACCAGACAGCCTAGGGATCCTTCCCAGGCACCATCCTGACCAGGGCCATTGTCTCCACTTCTCTCAGCATCAGGGGGCAGGAGTGGAGTTGGGAGAAGGGATGAGGACATCAAGGGGAATCCTTACTCTTCCAAGGGGTACCCCTCAACTCCACCCCATCGGTGCTGAGGCCCTGGATTTCCAGGGGCTATAATCATGTATACAGAGGCAGACCCCTACACTGGTTGCTGGCTGCCCTGGGGTGCTTTCTGCCTACCCCTAGCCTCTGACTTGTCTTAAGACTTGGTCCAGACTCTGATCTTAAAATCTAACCACTGCTCAGATTCTTAAAATCTAGCCACTGCTCAGATTCCTAAAATCTAGCCACTGCTTAGATTCTTATAACCCAGGCACTGCTTACTCGTGTTCAGACTCTGCCCAATATGACAATGTTCTAATAAACCTTGTCTTTGGCTGAAAAAAAAAAAGACTTGGTCCAAGGGGCAGCTAGGTGGCACAGTGTGACTCCAGCCTTGGAGTCAGGAGGACCTGAATTCAAATCCCGCCTCATACACATAACACTTACTAGCTGTGTGACCCTAAGCAAGTCACTTAACCCCAATTGCCTCACCAAAAAAAAAAATACTTGGTCCAAGTCATGTCCCCCGGGATTTTTTTGGTTTGGGGGAATTGGAGGGTCAGAATTTGTGCTTATAGGAATAACCTAATCTAGCCCAGGGATGATATAAAATTGTAAAGAGATTTGAAATGGAAAATTTATTCTGAGGTTCTTAACCTGGGGGCTGTGAAGTTATTTTTAATAATAGTTTGATAAGTATGTAATTCTATGTACTTTAATCCTGTATATAAGTAATACAATCCTATGTATTTTATTTTCTACATTTAAAAACATTCTGAGGGGCAGCTAGGTGGCGCGGTGGATAGAGCAGCCCTAGAGTCAGGAGAACTTGAGTTCAAATTTGACCTCAGACACATAACACTTACTAGCTGTGTGACCCTGGGCAAGTTACTTAACCCCATCACCTAGCCAAAAATGAAAAAGAAAAAAAGAAACATTCTGAGGAGTCCACAGGCTTCATCAGACCCTGCCAAAGCAGTCCAGGAAACACTCACAAAGGGTTAAGGACCCCTGATATTGAAGAAAGTGAAATAGCAAGGTCTCTTATAACCTCTTCTCTTACAGGTGGAAATAAATGCTGCCCTCTATTCAGGCTCAGCCCCTCCTGGACAGCTGGAAGGCCCTTTCCTTTCTATTCCCCTCAGTCCCATCACCTGTCTCCATCTTTTATCTGAAAAGCTGTATTCATCCCTCCCTTCCTCCCTGGGCCCCTAAAAATCTGAGAACAGAAGAGCCCATGGGTAGTGGCCATCCATTCTTAACTTTGGACACTGAGACTCAGAGGGGTTAAGTGACTTGCCCAGGGTCACTCAGCTAATAAGTAACAGGATTCTAATGCAGGTCTTTCCTCTTCCAAGTCCCACACTTAGAAGACTGTAGATTCAGAGGTGGAAGGGACCTTAGTGGTCTAGTGTCATCTCTTGATTTTGAGGGAAGGAGGGTAATGGGGACTGGGTTGGTGATTTCTTTGGTGAAGGGAACTCTCAGGTGAGAAAACTCTTCAACAACTCAGAGTCGTAGGGAGTCATCTGGTGCAGGAAAAGTTTAAGTGACTTACCCAGGGCCACATAGCCAATGACTTGAACCCTGGTTATCTTGACTTCAAGACCAGCTCTCTAGCTGATATGCTATACATGCCTCTCCTTATTTCACAGATTAAGAAACTGAGGCCCAGAAAGTCTAAATAATTTAAAGGGAGTAAATGGCAAACTTGGGATTTGAACCCGCTACCTCGGGCTACAGACCTAGCATGCTTTCCCCTACACTATACTGGCTTCCTACACTATCAGGTTACCTGTCAGGCGTAATTAATGGTTCCTTTACCAACCTCTCAGAACTACATAGCTCAGGGCTGTCTTGTCTGTGCTGAGAAGAGGAAGGTCACGCTGCTGAATTCTGTGTGTCTCTCTTGACTGTCAGTTTTCCTCTGTCTGACTCCTCTTGTGTTTGTCTGTTTGTGTCTATCTGTGTGGGTCAGGCGGCTCTAACTGTCCCCACCCACCATGACCCACATGTGCCCCTGCCACCCCTAAGCATATGCCACCAAGGCGCTGTGTCCTTCCAGGCATGCCTAGCATGGGGTAAGGAGGGGGCAGCACTCACCTGTGGAGAGGGCCTAGCCGGGTTCCAGCCCGCTGTCTATTGTCTCCCAACAGGCAGGTTCCCAGCTGCCTGTCTCTGCTCTGTTGAAGCTGCTTCTATTTTGGATTTGTGTTTAATTATAAACCATGATCTGCTTCCCCTCTTCCGCCCTCCTCTTCTTTCTACCCACCCTGCCCGGGGCCATGAGTCTCGTTCATTCCCAGGAGGGGAAGGTGCCGAGAAGATGGCATGGTAAGGGCATGAGGCTGAGCCCAATCTGGTAGTCCTGGCACTGATGCCTGCCTCCTCCCCCTCTGACCCATCATCAGAACACTGCATGCTGAGGATACAGCTAGTCCAGCCACAGCCTAGGCTGTATATATATGGTGTGTGTCAAATGATTTTGGGAGCTGGGGGTGGGAGGAATAGCTGGAGAAGGCGGTAAGCAACTAATCCCTGGCCAAGGGGATTTAAAACTGTGTGGGCATTCTTTTCAAGCCTTTGTTATTATGTAGAAATAGAGGGTAGAAGGAAACATGGAAGAAGGCTCATGATTATGGTCTTGTCCTACTTAGGACGTGGAGGTATGATGGAAAAAGGAAGGGAAACTGAGCTCGCCAATAGGCCACCTGGATGTCCGGTCCCTTCCTGGACACCTCCTCTCCTTTCCTCTGCCCCCACTCTCCTTGGCTGTACCAAAAAGAAGGATAGAGAGGGAGCAAAGCTAAGAAAGGGGTGGATAGACAGAAGCTTGAATGCTGTTCAAATGAGATAATATTTGTAAAGCACAGTGCCTAGCACATAGGAGGTGCTATATAAATGCTTATTAGGCCTTCTGTCTTCAGAGTTGACTGAGTTCATCCCCAGGATGTCAGGCCACAGGGCAGAGTAGCAAGGAGCCTGGGAGGATTTTGCCAGAAAATGAAGTCCAGTTCCTTGGCCTATGCTTTACAGAAGCTAGATGTCCCTTCTGCAAGAATCTATGACACATAATTCTATCCAGGTGGAGGATGGGCCACTGTTTGCAGCCTAGAGTTCAGAGAAGTGGCCATTGGGAAGGGTTGTACAGAGGAATAACTACTGCACATTTCCTGGACCCTGAGCAGAAATTTGGTTTGTGACCTGAAGCTGCTCAGAGGGCTTCACATCTCAGAGCCATTGGGACCTTTGGAAAACCCCAGGGAACCTTGGCAAGGTTCTCCTATCTCAGCTCACAGCGTCCTTCTGCCATCTTGATACCTGCAAACTTCAGCCTTCACAGGCATACATGGACACAGCTCTGACTGAGGACAAAGTCATAGCTTTCAGATCTTCACCCTTCCAATCCATTTTTTTTTTAAAGTCAACTGGGGTTAAGTGACTTGCCCAGGTCACACAGCTAGTAAGTATCAAGTGTCTGAGGCTGGATTTGAACTCAGGTCCTCCTGACTTCAGGGCCTGTACTATACCCACTGCACCACCTAGCTGCCCCCCAATCCATTCTTAAGGGAAGATAACACCACTGACAGAATCTTTGAGCCCAGTAAAACATCAGTAAAGCTTTGATTTTTTTTAAAAAATGGCCATTTTATTTTCCATGCAGAGTGGTGGGTGGCATCAGTCTCTCCCTGCTCCCTTTATGCCGTTCCTGGCTAAGTTGGATATCCAGATCACGCAGCTGGGAGAGGAACCCCCGATTGGGGCAGATGTTTCGATGGACACTTACTGTCCTCAGGGCTTCCACCAGGGTCAGCTGCTTCCGGAGCATCAGGAAGGCAAGCACCAGGGTAGCAGAGCGGCTGAGCCCCATGGCACAGTGGACAAGCACCTTCCCTAGGAAGAATCAGAAGATCACAGTTTATTTAGAAGTGGAAGGGATCTTAGAGGCCGTCAAGTGCAACTCTCTCCTTTTGCAGATGAGGAACTGAGGCTGAGAGATTAAGTGACTTGCCCAGGGTCTCACAGCTAGTAAGTGTCTTAAGGCTGGATCTGAACTCAGGTTTTCTTGATACCAAATTCAATAAACCATGCCATGAAGATGAGGAATTGAGAACAGCCTCAAGTGGGCATAAAGCAAAGGACAAGGAAGAAGAGTCCCTGATCCATTTTTGGGAACCTGCAACCCAACGTAACAGAAAATCAGGGGCAGTTACAGGTCCTAAATCCCACCAAATCCCAGGCCTTAGGTCCTGGAACTCTAGACTGACTCCTGCTCTCAATCGTTTTTGCATGATCCTGAGAATGGGTGGGGGGGGAGCAGTTGCTGATAGGGCTTAGGCAAAGGAGAAGGTCCCTCCCACTAGCCTGCCCTCTTACCTTCTGGGGTCTCCAGTGCTCCCTGGATGAAGTTTGCTGCCTCAAGGAAAAAGACACTGAGGTCAAAGGCAGGGTGATCAAAAGCCTGGATCCCATGGTAGGTCACAGGTAAGCAATAATAATAAGTGGGTCTTGTAGACACATCTAACCCCGCATGGGCAGCATTAAGGATATGAGTGATTCCTTGGCTCTGCAGCATTGGGAGATTCCTGGCAGCCACTCTATGGTGGAGAGGGAAGCCCGAGAGACATGAAGTTGCTATCGGGTCTGATGGCAGTGGGCATCCAATAACTGGGAGCCTAACCAAGCCTCCACCCCAACAATCCCCAACTCTAATTTTCACCCTAACCCACATCCAAAACTGAAACCTCTTAATCGTAACCAAAATCCTAAAACATACTTCCCAAACCCCAATATCTCCACTTTAACCCAGAACTTAACTGTAGCCCCAACCCTGACAATCCAGTCCTACTTCTCCAGCCCCATGGCTCATTCTTTAGGGATTCAGGATGGGGTGAAGATATCCAGCTAGTTTAATATTCCCTCCCCCATGGCCTCTCTAAGGGCAGCGCCAGATCCCTCTGGGATTTGATTCCCAGTTTGGGTCCTAGGATGTGTGATTTGGGGCAGGATAGGAAATCAGGAGGGACAATGGGCAGGGATATCTTACAAGTCTCCCACATAGATCTTAGGCCAGACTTGATCCATGTGGTTCCCAGGCCTTGTTTGAGTCCAGAGCAATCGCTGCAGGTCATCTAGCTCTGGTGTCTTATCTCTGACCTTGTGAAACATCTTCCCACCTGCCTGACCGCCAATGGGGAGTGCTCTAGTCGGGGTAAAATCCAAAGGAACCTTGACATAAGGGAACAGCAAAAGATGGCAGGGGTAAGAAGGAGATAAGTTCAGAGGAAATAGAGACAATAAGGAAAAGGTTGTTGGGGTGCCTGCTTTCCCTAGGGAAACACTAGCCCACTTACATGAGAGTGTGGGTGGTGCCAGGGGGAGGGATATTGGGAGGAGAGCCTGAGTACACTCCTTGAGGTTCTGACCTCTGGCTCTGTTGGACTTTAGTGGGCTAATGGTGGAGCAAGGATCCCTCATTTTCACGAAGATGTAATTGATGCATCATCACAAAACAGGAAGGATTCCTTTTTTTTCAATACCCCGGGGCCTATCTCTTTGGCTCCAGCCACTCTATCTTAGTCAGCTTTCTTCTCTTCCTGTTCCTTTTCTCTTCTCTCTTCCTACCCTTTCTCTTGTAGAGGGGGCTCATTCTTAAGCTTCTTTTTCATCTAAAAAGTCACGTTAGCTCCTGATCCATTCCCCATCAAGGGACCCAAAGATCTGGCCCCCTGAGAAGCACTCCATCCTAGACTACCTTCATATTTTGAGTCCTAAATGTGAACAACAGGAAAATCAGCTTAAACTCTTCCTTTCATTGAAGAGGTAGAGAACACTGTGGGTGTAGAATGTTGCCTAATGCTGTCAACTACAGTTGATATATCAGTTTGTTTTATTAAAGTTTATGCTTGGGCTTTTTGTTATTACAAGGGTAGAAAAAGGGGTAGGGGGCACATTCAGAAATAAGTGTGATATAAAAGCAAAAGTCTATTTTTATTTCACCTCTAGTAACCTTTTTTTTTTCTTGGAAAAAGAAAAAAGGGTTAAAGTTATGAAATAGCCACTTGACACACAGTTGAGTCATCCTGGCTCTTATTACCAAAGTCCAACTGGACTTAGTCATAACCCAAAGGAAGGCCCAAGGGAAAGAATACTCCTGATGACTATTTCAGGAACTCAGCCCCTGCTTCCTGGCTTCCCTGATTTTTTGATTGAATGACCTCCAGCACAGTCAGGGAGGTGTTAGTTTCTAGCTCATTTTATAGAAAGAAAGCAATCTAGCACATGTTATGATAGAAAGAAGTTTGTACTAAGAGTCAAGAAATATGAGTTCTAGACCACTGACTAGCCATGTGGCTTTGGGTAAGTCTATTTAACTTCTCTGGGCCTCAGTTTCCTCTTTTATAAAAAGAAGGGATTGAATTTGATGACTTCTAAGGAAAGTCACTTCCAGAGGTCTAATTTTCTGTGTCTGGGTGACTTCCTCAAGAAGGAGACTTGGGACTACCCAATACTACCCCTGGAGTGGCTGATTCCAACCCAACACCAAGTAAGCTGCCAGAACCCTACAGCCTCCAACTGAGAGCATTGGAGGCCCCAGCACACAAAGCCAGTGACAGGCCCTAGGCTCCCAACACAAGAAGCTTGGATCAGTGCCCTCTGCTCCCCAGAAGGAGAGCTCAGTCTCTTTAAGGGCCAGGAAAGAAGCAAACACCAAGAGCAAAAAGAAATGTATGATAGATTCTTACTGTGGGAAGAGTGAAGATCAAGGCAGAAATTCTGAAGAGGACAACATTGTCAACAAACCCACACCTGGAACCTCAAAATGGAATATGAATTGATCTGAAGCCCAAAAAAGCCTTCTTAGAAGAGCTCAAGAAGGATTTTAAAAGTCAAATGAGAGAGGTAGAAGAAAAAATGGGAAAAGAAACGAAAAGCATGCAAGAGAGAGTCGATAGCTTGGAAAAGGAAGGACAAAAATTAACTGTAGAAAACAAGTCCTTAAAAAATACAACTGGCCAACTGGAAAAAAGTACACTGAAGAAAACAAGTCCCTAAAAAATACAATTGGCCAACTGGAAAAAAAATACACTGAAGAAAACAAGTTCCTAAAAAATACAATTGGCCAAATGGTGAAGGAGGTACAAAATCTAATAGAAGAAAACAATTTGTTAAAAATAGAATTGGGCAAATGGAAGCTAATGACTCTATGAGAGAGCAAGAATCAGTCAAACAAAAACAAAAGAATGAAAAAATAAATGAAAATGTAAAATATCTCATTGGCAAAACAACTGACTTCGATCAGGTCAGATCCAGGAGAGACAATTTAAAAATTATTGGTCTATCTGAAAATCACAATGAAAAAAAACAGCCTGGACAGTATCTTTCAGGAAATCATAAAGGAAAACTGCCTTGAGGTCCTAGAACCAGAGGGTAAAATAGCCATAGAAAGAATCCACTAATCATCTCCTGAAAGAGATCCCAAATTGAAAACGCCAAGGAATATAGTAGCCAAATTCCAAAATTACCAGGTCAAAGAGAAAATACTGCAAGCAGCCAGAAAGAAATAATTTAAATGTCATGGAACCACAGTCAGGATTACACAGGACCTTGCAGCTTCTCCATTAAAAGACTGTAGGGTGTGGAATATGATATTCCATAAGGCACAGGAGCTTGGATTACAACCAAGGATCAACTACCCAGCAAAAATGAGCATGAGCTTTCAGGAGAGGAGATGGATATTCAACAAAATAAGGGACTTCCTTTTTTTTTTTTTTTGGCAATTAGGGTTAAGTGACTTGCCCAGGGTCACACAGCTAGTAAGTGTCAAGTGTTTGGTCTGAGGCTGGATTTGAACTCAGGTCCTCCTGACTTTAGGGCCAGTGCTCTATCCACTGCACCACCTAGCTGCCCCCCATAAATAGGGGACTTCCAAACCCTCCTGATAAAAAGACCAAAGCTCAACAGAAAACTTGATCTTCAAATACAAGACTCAAGAGAGACATAAAAAGATAAATGGGACAGAAAGAAACTAATAAGAGCAAAGTTCATCCCCCCTATTCCTGGAAGCTGCGCCTTTCAACGCAACCCAAGATTGCATTTGTATTTTTTCAGTGTACAGCTTGTGGTCCAGTAAAATCCCTAGATCATTTTCAGAAGTGCTGTCTAACCATGTGCCTCTCCCATCTTGTACTTGTGAAGCTGACATTTGGTACCCAGAGGAGTGACTTATCCTGATGGAATTTCATCTTAATAGATTCAGCATAAGATCTTTGTTGATCCTGACTCATCAATCAGTATATCGTCTGGCTCTCCCAGCTTTGTGCTTCAGCAAATTTGGTGAGCTGTTAAAGATGCAAGTCATAGTTAAAAAATATTAAAAAGCACAAAGCCAAGCATACTACATAGTGGCCTCTTGACACACTGACAATGAACCATTAACCAACTCTCTGAATCCAGCCATCCAACCAGCTGTGAATCAATCTATATCAGTTAATCCTTGTCTCTTTATCTTCTCTATAAGAATAGGATATCAAAAATCTTGCTAAAATCTAGATAAGCTATAATCATGGCATTCCTCTCATATACTAGTTTAATAATCTTGTCAAAAGAGGAAATGAGGTTAGTCTAGCTTGACCTGTTCTTGATAAAGCCGCTCTGGCTTTTTATAATCATCTATTGCCACTCAAGAGGTTCAACAACCGTATCTTTAGTGATTCATTCTGGAATTTTCCCAAATTGGAAACCTGGAAGCTAGGCAGGCTCCCTGAGCAGGCCAGAGAAATTTAAAGTTCAATTTATTAATTGGCTTTGAGAGTCAGTTCCCCAACTCATAGGACCATGCATTTTGAGCCAGAAGGAACCTTAGGGGGTTATCAGATTTAACCCCTTCAATTTACAGATGAGGAAACTGAGGTGCAGAGGTTCAGTGTGCTTAAAGGCTTACAGCTAATAAATGTCTTGGCAGAATTCAAACCTGTCTCTTCCTGGTTCTAATTCTAGCATACCAGGGTGCCTCTGTGATATCACCTACATGGCAGTTCATGTCTCTTTCCTCAACCTCTGTGGCCATACCAATACATTTAGAGTTGCAGTCACTGGGGTCTCTGAAACTCAAAATAGGAGCTGGATAAAGAGTTTACCCCCCCAAAAAAAAAGAGTCTATCCCCCTTCAATTTAGCAGTTAGCAATGGAAGCAAATCCCAGAGTTCATCACTGAAGTTCAGTGGAAAGTCTTAGGAAAAATGGTCACCAGGAGGGGTAGAAAAACTTCTGTATCACAGGTAGCAGGAATATGGGTCATTTTCTGTCTCTCTTATCGACAGAACAAGAAGATATGAGTTTAACTGATGGCAGGAGGGACTCAGAATAGACTTATGGATGAATTTGATGACCAGCCAAGGGAGTATGAACAACTAAAGGTGGGAAATGGAGTGGTGACATGTCCTTCTCTGGAGACCTCAGAATAGGAGATCCTCCTAGTCTAGACTGAGAGTAATCTGGCAGACAAAAGGTGTTTGGCTATAAAGGATGACTTCAAAAAAATCTACCATATCCTCTGGTCCAGGGAAACTTGGATATTAGGACCAGGCTCATCAAACCCTAACCATATCAATCATTTGGTTGATACACACACACACACACACATACACACACACGTGTGTGTGTATGTGTATATTATGTATGATATATGTGTTAACACATATAACCAAACCATTATAATCAATCACCTAACCAATCAAACCATAACATGTAGCTTCCTTTTTCTCTATTTCTACCTGAGTACCTGGCATAAGAGACAATTTAGCCTGAAGTCTCTGCCCAAAGGGTCATAGCCTGGGTTCCCTAAGTGTGTGGTGAGTGGGGTGGGAGGAGTAAAAGAATGAGGCCAGAGTAGTGCTGAAAAGAGAAGGAAAGAGAGAGTAGGGGAAAACTGATGACTGGGGGAAGGGGGGTCAGGAGCCTGGAGAAACGTATGGAGATATGTGTGAAGTTGGAAGATCTTGGGTAGAGGGGCCCATTGAAGGCAGGGGGATGAGAGTGAAGGAGACCCCCACTACCCCCACTACCAAGCTCTGGCATCCATCTTGCTCCTCTAATTTAGGAAAGCTGGAGATGGTCCTACCTCCTTCCCAGCAAAAACACATACTCGTACAAGGTCTAGCATGGGTAACCAGGGCATTGTTGGCGGGTAAGATCAGTAGCCAAAATGGCAGGAGAGGGCCTAGGATTGAGTGTGAGCTCTTGGTCTGATGGGTCTTGTGTATGGCTTGGTAGAAGTTAGGGGGAATGATGGTACCAGTTAGGATTTGATGACCACAGGGAGGTAGTTTCCTTGGGCCCTCCTCATCTCTACCCCTTTGCTGCCTTCCGGGGAAGGAAGAAGGGCCTGGTCCAAACAACAAAGTTAGGCAACAAGCAAGTTTCCCAGTCCACACCTCCTACCCACACAGATACCTGTCTTCACCATCTCCCCCCACCCATCCTATCTTATATTCTCCCTTCCTTCTCTCTTCTTTCCTCCCACCAAACTTCATCTAGCCCTCTTCGTAGAAGTGGAAAACCAGCATCTTACAAAGGGGATGACTGGTGTGGTGGTGTCCTCAGGCTGAGAAACATAAGAAACTTGAGGGATTAGTGGATAGGAGAGAGTAGACCTTAGGCCCCTATTATTTACTACTTCTATCCCCAGGAGACCCAACTATTCTCTGCAGGTATGTTACTTGGGTCCGGAATCCTTCCACTCCCTTCCCATCCCCATGTTGGCAAGGAAGAGTAGGCATATTCAGATCACCTAGCTCCTTGGGGCAGCCAAGACCAGAAGCCATACTAACCTGTCTTGGATGAGAGACCAATTCCAGCAAAAGACATGAGGTGCTCCTAATCCTCCCCCACCCCAAACCATCCCTGGCCTTGCAGAGACAGAAATCTCCTTTTTGGTGAGACTCCTGTCTGCTGTCCTATTCTCTTTTGAAGGGTGAAGGTGAGGCTGTGGCCTGAACGTGATGAGGGGCTGCTCTCTCAGTCCCTTGGTGCTCCCCCTGCTCCCTGAAGCTGCCTGTCCAGCTGGCACAGCTGCTTGAGGAAACCAGAGTTGGGGAAGATCCAACGGTGTTGCTTCACAGAATTCACAGCCTGCCGCAGAGTTAGTCCTTGCCTCAGCATGAGGTAAGCCAAGACCAGAGTGGCTGATCGGCTGACCCCCACCACACAGTGAACTAGTACCTTGGCTGGAAGAATAAGCAAAAGGGAGGTAGGTGGTGAGAGCCTATGGGGGAGGCAAGCCCCTCTTACTCCCAAGGATAGGCATGGGCTTTGGACCCCTCCCCCTTCAAACTTTCCCATGAATCCCAGAACCCAGTCCCTGAACTCAGATGCCTTGCATTCGCCTGAGGATCATCTTAGTATAATCCTTTCAACAATTCTAGCACTGTGGCTTTGACCTTGCTCCAATCTCCAATTCTCTGTTACCTCTAACCTAGCCCAGCCCTTCATTGTCTGTTACCTCTAGATGGATCCCCCACCCCTCAATTCCATTTATACCCCTCCCTTCCCAGTGGACAGGGTTATGCCTGGGACACCTAGGCCCTTCTCAGTCCTTCTGTTACCTCCCAGTCACCCCAGACTACTTGGCCACTCCTTGATCCTTCCCGTAGTCTTTCTGTACCTAAGGTCTACTTTGCCCTCTATTAAAGTGCTCAGATTCTAGGGGGCAGCTAGGTGGTGCAGTGGATAGAGCACCAGCCTTGAAGTCAGGAGGACCTGAGTTCAAATCCGGCCTCAGACCAAACATTTGACACTTACTAACTGTGTGACCCTGGGCAGGTCACTTAACCCCAATTGCCTAAAAAAAAAAAAGCTCAGATTCCTTAAGAGTCTGGCCAATAGCGAAAATCCTTAAAATCGTGTCCACCTTGAATGGGATGTCCCAGTGAAGACTTCTCAGTGTAATTAAGGTAATGAGTTCAGAAGATAGTGTGAGAAATGAACTCTCAGAAGAGAAGGTTCCTCAAAGGGTCAAATAATTCTTGATTACTACTTTCAAAATCCTCCCCCACTCAGACCCTGTTTTTAAGCACTTAACAGAAAGAATAAGCCCCACCCCACCCCCAACCTGAGCCCTTTGTCCTTGGCTTTGAATTTCGTGCCTGGAATGTAAGCCCCACCTCCCGGTTAAGGGGATAGGAAGAAACTTTCAAGGTAGAATGTAAGCCCACCCCCAGTTAAGGGGGTATGGGATAGTGGTGGGTGGAGACTTGTTTTCATGGTGGGCAGAGATTTGCTTTTATAAGGTGGCCCCTATTAGGCACGGGTCTCGCTGTCCCATACAATCTCAATCAGTCTTTTAATAAACCTTATCTCTGACTGAAAGAAGGCTTGAGTCAAATTCATTCACGACAGGATCCACATCTTCTGCCCTTGAATTTTGAGGTTCCCAGCACCCCTAGACCTCAACACCACTAGAAATAATCACTCAATAACTCTCACAGGGGCTCCGGGAACTTCCCCCGCTGGGAGCAATGGCAACAGCTCCCATTTCTATAGCACTGCAAGATTTATGGAGTGCTATCCTTAAAATAACTCTGGGGGGTACAGAGGAACAAGTATTTTCATCATCCTCATTTTACAGATAAGGAAACAGCAGAAGTGAATTCCCAGGGGCCACATAGCTAATACCTCAGGGACAGAACTTAAACCAGGGGTGAGGAACCCTCCTTAAACCCTGGCCTCTTGACTTCAAACCTAGTTGGTCTTTCACTATTTTCCATTACAATGACATAATACAAAAGTCTTGGAAGGCCCTGAGATGATCCTTGTCCCAACTCTATCAAAGGTCACTTGTGATTATTTGCAATTCCCTTCACTGGTCTGATCCTCCTCGTCCTTATCTCTGAAAAGAGTAGATAGAGTAACTTAACCTGCCCTACATTATGCTTATGAGGCTGGGCTGAGATAATTACTTCTGAAAATAAGTATGAAGGACCATTCTTATGCAAGCCATCATTATCTTCAATCCTTTTGCACAGATAAGGAAACTGAGGCCCAGAAAATGGTGCTGACTGGGTCTAGAGTCCCACATGAAGAAAAGAGAGTTGAGGCTAGCTAGCTGAGTGAATTAAGAATTGCAGAAGGAGCAGAGACTGCCCCCAACCCTTTCTAAATTGTCTTCTTAGCTTCTCCAGGCTCCTTCATTGACTTTCCCCTCCTTTCTCCTACCCCAACTTCCTCATGGGACATATATTTTAGGGCAAAAATGGAAATTTGGGGACATCTGGGTTGCAGCCTGAGTCACTCTGGAACCCTCTCCTATCGAAAGCAAGACATGCGGGTCCTGCCTGAAAGAATTCAACATAAGCCTTCTTTCAGCCAAAGACAAGGTTTATTAAAGATCCGCCATATTGGCCAGACTCTTAAGGAATCTGAACATTTGTGAGCTATTGGCTAGATTGTAAAAATCTGAGCCCTTGGCTAGGTTCTTAAGGAATCTAAGCACCTTAATGGAGACAAGATGAATCTTATATACAGAAAGACTGTGGGAGAGAGATCTAGGAGTGGAGAATCTTGATGGGAATGACTGGGAGGTAGAATGGAGTTGAAAGAGGATCAAGGGTGGGAAATGGCCACCACAAGTAATAGACAATGGAGAGCTAGGCTAAATTAAGTGTAACAAAGAATTGGGAGATTTGGGCATAGGACATAATGAAAGGCCAGTTGATAGGATTACAGCCTCAGGAGAAAGCCAGAGACTTTCTTGATCAAATGGGAGAATTCAAGGAGAATCCCATAGACAAATGGGACACAAATTCATTTTTGGAGTGAGGGGCAAAGGTCTCAGCTTGGGCCTATATGCCATCAATTGTGGGGGATTTCTTCAAGCTGGATATTCCTTGGTTGGAGGGACTTTCTGAGATGGACTACAAAGCAGGGAGAACAGAAAAGCCCACCCATGCATTTCCAACCCCTGTTTCGTACCCCCAGGTGTGAGGAGAGCATTGTGGATAAAATCAGCAGCAGAAGAAAAGTAGGCACTGATATTGAAGTCAGGGAGGTCATGGGCAGGCACCCCCAGGTAGCTCACACAGCTGCCATAGAAGTCAGGGCCCCCCTGGCAGTAAAGCCCCCCGTGGGCTGCATTCAGCACATGAGTGATGCCTAGTTTCCACAGTTCAAAGCGATTGTTTGCTGTGGCCCTAGAAGAAGACAATGATAGATAAGGTGGCTGGTAGATTGATCCAGTCTAGCTACCTTAGGGATGTGGGGAAGATGAGGAAGAATACTATATTCTAAAGGACATACCCACCAAGCCCAAGCCCTGAACCTCCCCCTCTCATCCCAACACATATTTCTCTTTGTGCATAGTGTGGAGCTGATGGGGATGGGATCTGAACCCCTAAAAAGAAAAGACCATGTCTTTGGGATCTGGACCCCAAAAAAGAAAAACCCTGGATTTTCCCACCTGGCCAAATCTCTGGTGTTCACCTGAGGCTATAATCCTATCAACTGGCCTTTCATTGTGGCTAAACCCAATCTCCCAATTCTGTTGTTACCTCCCAATTGTCCCTGGCCACTTCCCACCCTTAATCCTATCTAGACTCCATTCTCCCTAGGCCTCCTGTGGTCCAGGTCCCTGGCAGCTCTATTCATCCCAGTTTACTGGCCACTCCCATCTAGATCTTCTTTAGACCCCTCACCCCAAACTACTTGGCCACTCCTAAATCCCTCCCACAGTCTTTCTGTATATAAGGTCCATCTTGTCTCTTTTAAGGTGCTCAGATTCTTATAATATAGCCAAGGGCTTAGATTCTTAAGATCTGGCCTGTTCGGATTAGCCATACAAATGCTTAGATTCCTTAAAAGACTGCCCAATATGACTGATGTTCTAATAAACCTTGTCTTTGGCTGAAAGAAGGATTGGGTTGAATTCTCTTAGACAGGACCCATGTGTCATGATTTTGGGGTCCCAGCACTCCTAAACCCCTAAACTTCAACAGAGCCAGGTTTGGGGGACCCCTTTTGCTACCTGGGGTTTTCAGTTTCATTGGGCCCAGACCTTGGGTAGAGAAGAAAGGGGGAAGATTCTTGAGTATCTTTGTCCACTCCCCTCACTGCATGTACCTTCCTTGATACCCTTTTTCAACACATCTGTAAATTACCTTTTGGACCTGAAGCTTTAGGGATTTTTCTTGTCCCCAGCTCCCACTGTCATTCTGAGCTGAGAGGGGAGGGAATGGGCTGAAATAAGCCAAGATGGACCAGTTGGAGGTTCTAGCAACCTCAAAGACATTGCCCACTCCAAGTCCATCTCTCATCTTTCGCCCAAATCCTTGTAATCGGCTCCATCTTCTACACCTGAAGCCTGCCTTACCACAGGCTTATCAGTTGTTCTGAGTTTCTGGAAGACATCTGGAATCTACACAAAACTCCTAGTTTCTAGGCCCAGTATTTTTTTTCTTCCTCTAGGAATACTGAGTGTTCTCATTCTCCCACCTTATGGTTGTACCTAGGGACCTTCCCTCTCCTCCCACACCATGGTCATGTCTAATTACAGATAGGGTATATCTCCTTCCACCCCTGCTGTAAAGCCTTCCTGACAGAACAGGTTTCCTCTCTTTCCTCCCTCACCCTAACTTCCCAACTGCATCTTCTTATCCCCAAATCACCACTCACGCATCTCCTATGAAGAGATTGGGCCAGACTTCATCCACATGGGTGCAGGAGACCCTCCCTGTCCTGAGGAGCTGCTCTACTTCAGAGACACTAGGGCAGGGAGCATCAGTATCATCTGTCTCAGCTTCGATCTCCTTTGGGGAGCCCTTTTCCCCAGACATCAGCAGGAGAGACCTTAGCCTCTCTATCTTGGAGAAACCCAGTGTATGCCTGTGTTTGTGTATATGGGTATCTTGGTGGGGTGGGGTGGGGTGGAGGGTGTAACAACTCCCTCCTAGAACTTGTGCCTTCCCTCACATAGGTATCATTTTTCCTTTCTAGAGACTGGCAGGGACAGGTGGGACAGCAGTGAGTGACTCAGCAGGGCACAGTGGGCTCCAGAGAGAAAACAGTCACTTTTCCTTCCTGATTAACTTTGGTGTTTCCATCCCCACCCCAGCATCCATTAGCTTTTCTCTTCTTTCTTTGCCCTCTCCCAACATTTATACCTGCCCCTGGAGACCACTAGAATTGGGAATTGGGAGAGCTTAATGCAGCTATGGCCAGGGTGCATTAGGGAATGAAGCTCTGCTGGTAGGCCAGTATGTTCAACAGTGCTTTCCTCTTGGGACCTAATTCTAGGCCCAGATTTGGACATGTGAGTGAGGAGAATGAATATAGATAGATTGAGGAAGGCTAAATATCCTGTTTCATGTTCTAGTCCAGAACAGGCAGATACTCTCATTAATCATCTGGGCCTATCCTGAGAAGGCTAAGCTACTAGACAGAGAGACCTTGGTATCTCCTCTCCTTTAAAAGGATAAATGAAACCCATTAACTCACAAGTCTTGACAGAAGACCTATGGGTCCAGTCCTCTGGTAGACACCATGAAGTGACACTGAAGAAATATAAGATACAAGCTTACCATCATCATAGATTGTAAAATTCTATCACACGTTGCCTTAGTGGCCCAGGCTGCGTAAGAGATTAGACACATGGGGCACATCTGCCTTGTGAATGGAACCAGAGAAGGTTCCTAAAGTTCCAATAAACCACATACTTCACTCAGGTACTCCAATCACATAAACAGCCAAGTTGTAGGGATTAGGCAGTTATTGAATGGTAGAAATCATGAAATGGACAAATCTTTGCAAAGGTAATAGAAAAGAACATCCCAAGTGATCAGAGGGTTGAGCAAAGGACTTGTGAATGAAAGAGTCTCTGGTTCTCAGATTTGTTTTTTTTTTCTCTAATCTGTAAAATGAGGGATTTGGATTAGACAGTCTCTAAGGTTCTGGCACTAGAACTGGAGAGTTTGAGGAAGAGATGACTCAATACATTATCTGGTCTAAGGACTTTTGAGCACAGGGAAGGGTGGAACTGTTCTCGGACACCTACAGCCCATTTGCCATGAATGACTGGCAGGCAGAATTCCTTTGATAGCTTCTCTCAGCAAGAGGCTTCTGTCATTTTTGTCCTGTGCTTGCTGGGAAGAGTTAATGACTAAGCCCTGGTGGGAGTAGTTTCTCAGCTGTTTCCTACTCTGAATCATAACAATGTCAGAGCTGGGGAGGAAGCTTAGAGCTTGAGGCCCCGAACTACCTGTCTCTAGGAAGGAGTCTAGCTGGTGCAGAGAAGAGGCTTGGTTTTCAGCATTCTCCTCCAGCTCCTCACCCACACCCCCTGAATTGGAGGCAGCTGGGTATGGAAGGGGTTGGAATGCTGGGCCTGAAGTCAGAAGGAGCTGAGTTGAAATGTGCATTTAGACCCCAGCTTTACTTACCAATGCGGCTATCCACAGCGCCTGCTTTGTACGGCGGTTATCCTAAGGGGCGCGTGAGACAGGGGTGGGAAACCAGCAGCCTCGAGGCCACACGTGGCTCTCTAGGTCCTCGAAGGCTGGGGTTCCCCGCTCCTGACATAAAATAATATTTGGTAAGCGCAGGCGGGCGTTATATGGCTGCTGATTCCCTTCCCTCCCCCACCCCCAACTATCCAGCTGGGGCCAGGCTGTAAAATCAGACCCTGTGGGAGTCTGTCCCGAGGGATAATAATATCTGACATTTATGATGCACTGTAAACTTCTCAGCATGTTCTCATGTAGTCTTTCGTCTGAGTCAACACCCCGTGCTATCGGTATCATTAGCCCCGTTTTACAGATGAAGAAACCGAGGCTCCAAGAGGTTTGATGACTTGCCCTGGCCTCCTGGCTAGCATCGGAGGTGGGATTCGAACGCAGGTCATCCGGGCCCAGCTAAGTCTAGCCCTCAGTCCTCCGTGTAGAGGATGGGCTGGTCAGAGGTGTCCCCCGCACTCCCTCCCCCCCACCCCCCACTGACAGGTGTTTCCGGGGCTAAAGCAGCGGCAGCAGAAGCAGTCGGAAAGCTCACGCCTCCCAAAGCGTGGCCCTCCGCCCGCTTGCCCCGCCCCCGGAACAAGCCCCGCCCACCGCCCTCATTGGCTCCTCCCCTCCTTTATTTCCCCGCCCCCCAGGTCCTCCTCGGCTAGGGCCCCGGGCCCCAGGCCCTTACGCATGCGCACTCTCGCCCCCGCTTTCTCCTCCCTTCGCTTCCCCTGCCTCCATTCCGCGCCCTTTCCGGACTTGGCCCCGCCTCGCCGCCAGCCGAGACCACGCCCCACGAAGCAGTTCCGGTTCGGGCGGGCGCAGCCGCGGGCGCTGCCGCGGGCGCTGCGGTGCCCAAAGCCCCAGTGTGATGCTCACGCTGAGCCGCCCCTGGGTCGCCAGCTCCGCCCTCGCTCCTGTCCCCGCCCCCGCCAGAGGCCCCCGGCCCCGACTCAGCTCTGAGGGGCGGCCAGGACAGCGACTGTGACGCCAGCAGCTGCGACTCGGAGGAGGAGGAGGGCTCCTGCCCAGAGTGTCGGTGGGGCCCGGCGGGCCTGGCCGAGGTGAGCCTCGGACCCGGGCCTGAGGGGAGGGGGGCGGGAGGTCCGGGCCCCGGGGCGGGGCCTCCCCTCCCCCCACCACGCTCCCCGGGGCGGCGAGGTGCTGGGGGGGGTGACAGCCAGAGGTGAGGGTGAGGGTCGGACCTGGGGAAGGGGTGGGGGTGCGTGTGTGTGCATGTGTGTGTGTGTGAGAGGAGGAGGGGGTATGTGCGTGGTGTGTCAGTGTCTGAAGTGTGTGCATGCGTGTGTGTGTGCGTGTGAGGATGTCCAGTCTGGTGTGTGTGTGTGGTGTGTCAGTGTCTGGTGTGTGCATAGGTGATTGTGTTGTGTCTGTGTGTCTGTATGGTGTGATTTGTGTGTGTCTGAGGTATGTGCATGTGAGTGTCTGATGTGTTTCATGTTGGGGGTCTGTGCCTGAGGTGTGTGTGTGGGGGTGTCGGTGTCTGAAGTGTGTGCATGCGTGTGTGTGCGTGTGAGGGTGTCCAGTCTGGTTTGTGTGCATGTGGGGAGGAGGGTGTCAGTGTCTGAGCATGTGCAGGCATGAGTGTGTTGTGTCTGTTCAGTGTGTTTTGTGTGGAGGGTATGTGTGTGTCTGAGGTATTAGGCATGTGAGTGTCTGATGTGTTTCGTGTTGGGGTTCTGTCTGAGGGGTGTGTGTGGTGTGTCAGTGTCTGAAGTGTGTGCATGCATGATTGTGTTGTGTCTGCATCTGTATGGTGTGATTTGTGTGTGGGGTGTGTGTCTGAGGTATGTGCATGTGAGTGTGTCTTGAGTGTGTGTCTCCTGTGTTTCATGGGGTGTGTGTCTGGTGTGTCAGTGTCTGAGGTGTGTGCATGCATGAGTGTCAACATGTGTATTTTGTCTGGTGTACTGTGTGTGTTTGTGGGGGGCAAATCTCTGAGATGTGTGTCTGGTGTGTGTGTCATGTCAGTGTCTGAGATGCGTGCATATGGGATATATGTGTCTGGTTTCTGTAGAGATATTGTCTGTTGGAGGTATGTGCACACATATGTCTGGTGTGGTCTGTGTTCATGTGGGGGGGCTTCTGCGTCTGAGGTGTGTTTCGTGTGGATGTTAGATGTGTGCAGGTGCTGGCATTGCCCACTGGGGATGATCCAGAGCTCTGGGCAGTCTAGTTAGGTCGGAGGAGCTGCTTGGAGAGGGACAGGCTAGACAAACTGCTGGCTCCTCCACGTTGGTCCTGTGGCTTTTTCCCAAGGCCCTGGGGCTGTCTTTATCTTTTCCTGCCCAGGTTCTTGCGTTCCTCATCTCGTTCTCAGCTGCTGCCACCCCCATGTCCCTCTGCTCTTGATACACCCCTCCCACCATCCTCCCATGTAAAAGGTACATAATAAAATGTTTGATGAAATGAAATGTATGGTCAGGCAACATTTTGCTCATGTTGAGGGTTTTTCATGGTTTTTTTCCTCTCAGAACCTAGAAGAGGTTAAGGCCTTGCATTTGAATGATGGGGCTCTATTTGTAGTGAGGTGATTAGTTTAAAGAATTGGAAGGGGTGGGTAGGTAAGTGACTTTCCCTAAACCTCCTGGAGTCTTAGGTCTTATAATAAGAAATTCAGGAGTGGTAAATCTTGAAGAGAAAGAGTTATCTTAACAATTTCTTCTTCCTGTAACAGTTTCCTTGCTCTTTGAATTGTTTATCTGAAGGGCCTGGGGGCTTTAGGTTTTATACTTAGTTTTGATTGACTGAATTTACCACAGTGTAACAGTTTCATATATGCAGATCTCAATAAGGTTAATGTGGATTGAAGTGGTAGGCCTGTAACCTTATGAGAAATCCAAATATGAAACATTAATAGTGGGAGTTTCCCATGTTCTCTCTGGATTGTAAGTACTTCAAGGCCACAGGCTAGTGCTGATTGTCAAGCAGTTGAGGTATGTTTTGATAAAATTGTGCTATAGAGCGCTGGGCCTGGAGTCAGGAACACTCATCTTCCTGAGTTCAAATCTGTCCTTCTACACTCACTAGCTGTATGACCTTGGACAAGTCATTTCACCCTGTTTGCCTCAGTTTCCTCATCCATAAGATGAGCTGGAAAAGGAAATGGCAAACCACTCCAGTATCTTTGCCAGGAAAACCCCAAATGGGTTCACAAAGAATTGGACACAACCGAAAAATGGCTTTTAAAAAAAAGGAAACTATTTTAAGTTTGCTGCTAACAAAGACAGGTAGGCACCATGAAATATTTTTTATAGAAGACAGCATAATACCAAGAGATTGTACTTGGACTAAGAAAAAAAGATGGTTCAGGGAGACATTATGGTAGGAAATGAATAATAATTTTTCATAAGTTTTCTTCCCTGTAAAATGCTAATGTCAATGCTTCATTCAGCCTTTTATTTTAAAGGTCAAAAGTCACATGCTTTATTCTACCTGTTACTTTTATTCTGATTGTGTGCAATACTGGATATCTTACAGGTTATTTTTATGTAATACTTGTGTTGAGCACATTCTGCCAGAGACCGGGATCCCTGCTTAAAATGACAAGAAAATAGCTTATTGATTTAGAAGAATTCTTGAATACCAAGAAACTATGATATAGGAAAGTTTCTAATTCTGTAAATAAACTAGTTGGTGGGTAGACACCACCTTATGGGTTTGTCCTTGGGTACTGAGATCAGTTAGCCAACAACCATTTTATAAAGGTCAAATAAATTGTTTGATTCAACATTTTGTCTTAGGTTGGCAGAAGATCATCTTGTTTGTTTTTATTTATGGAACTGATAAGGAAAATCTTTCATTTTAAAAATGTGAGAGTAAAAGCCTTCTATTTGGGTAGCATGTTGATGTTACAGAGAGCTCTGTTAAATATCTTTTATGTTGCTGTAAGTCTTATAATAAAATTGACTTCGTGGTTTTATTTTAAAGTGTCCAATAAGCATTACTTAGAATTTCAGAACATGTTTTTTATTTTGAGCTTGATCTTCCATATTCTCTAGATCAGATTTTTAGAAATGTTATATCTCCTGAGCATTTCTTCTCAATTCCTAATATGAGGAGTTTCTAATTTCTCATGATAGGTAAGTTGTGTATGCTTAGGTATCTTCTTGATTGCTTAGATAAGCATCATTTTATTGCAAATGTTATTTTTAATAGAAACAATTATGAGTTCTACTTAAGTCTACTTATAATCTTTCATGAAGAAATTACACGTTATTCCAGGGTGTATGGAATGTTCAGGAGGACTAGCACCTCTGGTGTGAGGGCTTTCTAGACTCTTTTCAGTACTGCTCATCCACCTTTGGTGTCCATCAAAATCACTCAACTCTTTGCTGTGGCTCCAAGAAGCCATAGCATGCGCAGTGGCCACACCCCAGTAGAACATTGGGCTAAAGCAGGTTGTGGGTAACCCCAGGCCTCAAAACTGTCAGTGAGTTGAGGGGATATCTACCACAAGCATGTGAAGACTTCCCTATGGGGAATGGAGAACAATTTCTTCCAAGGGCCATGAAGGTGGCTGAAGCAGGTGCTATGGAGAGCTTAGAGCTTAGACAGGCATCAAAGATGCCCAGGTCATCCATTGCATCCCAGGCCATTGACTTTTGTCCTGCCACTGGACTTCATGACTGAAGTGTGAGGCCTATGATTTTGTTCGATTCTGCCTCACTTATCCAATTGGGGTGGAAGACATAACACTCATGATGTCATTGGTCCTCTTTGAAAATGGAAGGACAAACAACAATATTGCTCAGACACTGTGTTAACAGGCTAAAGACAACAAGAAAGGCAAAAGATAATTCCTGCCCTTGAGCTCATAATCTGATGGGAGAGACAACATGCAAATAAATACATACAAACAAGCTCTATACAGACTAACTAGGAAAGAGAGATATGGAAAGCTCTCCTATAGAAGGTAGGATTTTAGACAGGACTTAAAAGAAGCCAGGAGGCATCATTGATATTAATATAGTATCAGTATACCTAATTATCCAACTCCTTTTATTTACTGTTGCCAGATTTCAAAGCCACTTAGTTGTAGTAGAAGTAAGCTTTATGAGTAGACTAATAAAGACTAAAATTTAACACAAGGGATGTTTTTAAGCTTTTACGTTGTGACAGTGGTTAGAAATCCTCAGTACTTTTTGTTACAGTCATAGTTGATACAGGTGGTTTTCTACAGAATTTTTTAGGGATAAGAATCTTAACTTTTTTTTTTTAAAGAAACTGTTTAATCAGAGATGTTATGATGGGATTCCTTGTTAGTCTTATAAGAGAAGCCAGACTTAGTCAAAGTTTCTTAGTTTCTCTACCAGTGTTTTTCCTCCAAGCCTGAACTGGAGTGGTGGTTTGGTGTTGATGGCTCCAGTAGGGTGTGTAATCTAGCTCATTCATCTTCTTCATATATATTTAACCACTTTGAATCTGTTTCTACAATATAGTTTCCGTAGTCTAGCATCTTCTTTGATGTTGGCTAAGAGTTGTGAATATATGAATACAAGTTAATATTGAACCAGAACATTGTATCAAGAATTCTTAGGCAATTTTTGAAAGGAGCTATGGAGCCAGTTTGGTATCATAAAGCGAGGTATTTAAATTCCTTTAGTAGTTTGAAGTGTTAGATAATCATTTTAGCTTGTCTCAAATAATTGATTTTCAGAATTTTAAAGCTATTTTTTCCATTCCACACAGAAGATCATTCTACTTGCTAAATTTTTTATCATTTTTTGGTTGAATAGTTTTTTATTCTTCTTTGAAAATGTCACACATAAGATTGTTCTATTTGCTAAATTTTTATCATTTTTTGGTTGAATGCAGTTTTTTGTTCCTCTTTGAAAACTTTATGTGTTTTTTTGAAACCTTGCTTTTTTCTAATAGTATGATGTAACATGTTAAGGGGTAACAGGAGGATAAGAACATAGTCACTTGACCAGAGATTTCAGAATGACTGATTTCTTATTTTGTTAAAAGCCCTGTAACTCTCCTGACCTTGAGAGATCAGGAAGTTAATTGAAGATAGGAAAATATGGGTCAGGCATCTATG